GCTACTGTACCTCTAAGCTTCGTTCGTGTTTCTTTACGGATGTTTCGCCCGTTGCCCTGCATTTTCACCACCTCAAAGGTGACAATAATTTTACGGAAAGAACTTGGGTAATGCACCAAATTCCCTACTTAATATTTGAAAGCCTAAACCGCAGCATAGTTTAGGATTTTCTTCAATTATTATTGTTTAATCTCATCTACGAAGCCACTAATTGTATTTGCTGTCACCATATCAGCGCTCCATTGAGGAAAAGACTATATAGAGCTGAAGTATGACTTGACACGCGTTCGTTTCACGTTTCAATTATTTAACCTTTAATTTTGTTGAGTCATTCCTATCAAAATTTACTCCAAATGACAACAAATGCCCTTGATAACATAATTTGTAGTTTGGCCTAAAGTAATTTCCACCCACAGATGGCGCGCTTACTAAACTTCTGCATATCTCTCTGTAAAGCAATACCGACGCTCAAATTAATTTACCTTGGCTGGTGCGGTGTGTGGCATGTCGAGAAAGTTTCAAAGTTAAAGAAAGTTACTGCCAAGCAATCTTAAATAGCTATACAACAATGGATAGGCCGCTGCTGGTGGCATGACTGACTGCTGTCGCAGCTGAAGCAGTACAAGTAAATGCTTGTCAATGTGAATGGCGCTGACGGAGACGGCGGTGGCGGCGACGCTTGCTCCATGTCAAGTGCATGTTTTCATTTATAGATTTTTTTTGTTTTATTTTTTGTTTGCTTTTTTGTTTTTCTATTTCACCTTTCTTCACTATTTCACCCATTTGTTTGGCGCTTTGTTTTAGAGTGTTGCATGCAACCTGTCGGTGCAAATTGAAAACCTCTGTTCGAAGCTGTTGAAATTGCTGTGTAACATGCATATATGTACAAATAAACAAAGCACAGAACAAGAAATAATAACAACAACAATGCAATGAGCAGTTAAGTTGAATTTGTGTGTTTCGTGAAAAAATCATTGTGAGTCGACAGCAGATGAACAGAGCAGCAAGCAGCGTAGTGCTCAGTGCGAGTGACGAGTAGCGTGTAGACCTGAATTAGTTTGCGAAGCGTTGGGAGGGATGAAGGGTGACAAGCGGTTGCTTAATTGAAATTTAGATTTAATTACGATAACACTATTTGTTTTGTGCAACTAATGCCTTGCAATTAGATTATTTTATTGTTTGCTGTTTGCCATTTACATAGAAACCTACTTATGTACATTTATATATATGAATGTGTGTACAAAAGATTTCGGTAGAGATTTTTGGATAATTATTTAATTGATTAATTGAATTTGTAACTTTTTAGTTAGCTTTTGTTGTTGCATAAGTGCATTCCGTCAGTTTGTTTGCCTATCAACAGAGGTAACTCATAATTTATGTCATGCCATGCGGCGTCTGATGAATGAATTGCATGAAAGGCATTTCTGCTTTCCGTTGGTTATTCGGAATTGCGAATTTGTGAGAATTTTTTGGTTAAAGGTTCAAGAAATTGCCAACGGTAAGTCTGTCGTAGGAGGTGGCTTTTTATACCGAGACGATACGGATTTTTAACCGGTAAAGGACTGTAACTTCCACAATACTCCCTTAAAACCAATTGGGAGAATATTTTTGCCGTTAAAACAGCAACAACAGCTAGAAGGCAGTGTAGAAGGCATTAGCAACTCATTAGAAAGGTAGAAGCAAGATGGTCCAGACTTGGGCTTGGCTGCATCTTAATTGGGATGGTGAAGTCAATACTTTGGTAGTATGCCATACTAGAAGGCTACGGAAAGCATGGTTTCTAAGGTGGCCGCTAAAAATAGACCAGTCATAACTGCCGCTAAGTTACACGTCTCACATTACTTGAGAATCGGTACGTAGTAGTGTAGCGTCTTCTCTAAGAAAGGTAATATATTATATTGCCTTACCATCTGCCTTATGGGAACCTTTAGATTGCTACAGACCAAGCCTCGTATATCTTTACAGATGGTTATAAATTGATCGATGGGGTGGGTGTTGCTTGTATTATTATCCGAGCCGAAGTACGTGCATGCCGTAAATAGGCTACAAGGTGCAGGAAAATACGTCACTTTAACCCTTAAAGCTTTTAAGTTTCATATAGCCTGAAGACGAGCGATAAACTACCTAAAGAAGATGTCGTAGTTATGAACCAACCAGTTCAATTCAAGAAAGCGAAGCATGCAGAAGAAACTCTTTGGCATTACCTGTCTAGCTAGATCTGGTGAAGAATGAAATCGTGAGTTATCGGCGTACTACAGAGACCGAGAGATTACTTTATTATGGGAGAAGGAGCTGCAGAACTATCAAAAAACAATGAAAAGAGACCAATGACGACCAATTTAAGTTGCAAAGGGTACAAAAATGTTTTTCATACTGAAGCCGCAAAAGGAAGCTTAGGTCGTCCGTAGTGTATTTGGTAAAGCTACGAATGTAATATTGTCTATGTGGGTCTCCCCAAGTAAATAGTTAACCCGTTCAACTTAACCTAGCTGCTCCTCCATGTCAGTTCAGTCACGACGTGATATAGCCTTTTATAACCTTCTCCTATCAGAAGCTCAACATCTCTTGAGCTGAAATGCCAACTTGGGTAGGAAAGAGGACAAGGTGACTGATCACAAGACGGATCCACTGAGTCAATGATTGACGCCCCTTTTGGTGGACTTGAGTATGTCAATAAAATAAATCCCATATGAAGTTTATTTAGTTTAAACTTAGTTCGGATTACCTCGATTTTGGTCGTGCAACAGCATATATCTCTTTCTTTGCTTATGATCAGAAAAAGTGTATTTTCTTTTCCTTTTTGGCTTTTCAATTCCAATTTCTACTTTCAATTCGAGTGAGCTACTTTTATATTTTCAAGATCTACTCAGTAGTGGAAGCTTGATATAACTCAGGGTTCATACAGATGTAATTATATGTAAGATCCCTTGCATTATTTTCCAATCACTGACGATTGCTCTTAGATCAGAGCAGTTTTGGGGTCATACTTATAGCGGTCTTTCGAGACTGCTTGAGTTCAAGTATTTAAGAAAATGATCTACGTCTATAAATTTATGAAACCTACTTCAATATGGTATATCGTCGGTTGGTCTTTTGCTCTTTAACATTTGTGTAACAGACTCACTAGTTGTGACCTTCTCTTCTTTTACTCGCGATACATATGTCTTCCTTTTTCAGAGATTGTTTTACTTTGATCTAGGCTTTATTTACTTGAATTTTTGTCAAGTACAGTTGCCGCAAGTTGTTTGTGATTAGCAGTACGTACTACCAATACAAAGGCCAGGGGTCGAGTATTGGTCTGATCAACATACAAAACTATAAGAATTTAATTTTTCTTAATTGTGATCGCCGCTACCCAGAGAATCGCTGTACCGGTTACAAAGTCTCAGTATTTCTCATATTATTTATATAGATTATACCTCCGTTTCACCGACTGTTTTTTTTTTTATAAATTCATGTTCGTGCAGTTTTCAAGTGTTAAAACGCATACCAAAGAATTACTTATCTGGAAGACTTTTCCTCTCTACCAGATATACTCGCTCTCTCTCTCTCTTGTATCTTGCTTAGCTCGCTCGTCTATTTTGCCCTTATCACCTTCCCGCCATTATGAACTATACTATCCGGTATAATTAATCTGCGTATCGCAGTAAAAAAAATTTTCCATTACTCTGATGCGTAGAGCGAAAATCTGGTAATGCTAGAAATTCTCTCATACCGAATAGAGTTCTTTGATCTCCATCAATTTGCATTGATGACGTACAGAATTGATCCTGTAATATCAGCCAGTTACGCTCCTTACCCGGTACTTCCTTCATCGGCGTTTCTTTAAGATCAGAAGAAACATGAAGGTTTAATATAATATATACGAGGAGGATTTTCTTATAATCAACGCTGCATTACAACAAAGAAACATTTATTTAAATTTTATGTTATTTTTTGTTCCTCTCTCTAATGCCAATCCAATAGTCTTATCATTTTAAGTTACCCTATTAAGGCCACCAATTGCGTGACTTAATTTCAAAAAATATATTCTTACGTCGCCTCTTCTACAACTAAAGTGCTTCCGACAGCATTTGGGCACAAAACTTAACCACAAAACACAAAAGTGCTTGAATCAATGGCAAATGCTTTATTGCGGCTTCTATTTTATCGACGATTCAGGTGTCATTGGAGGGAGTATCTAATACACAGAAAATTCTCTACGTCAACGCCATCGACTGAAGAGTGTACGTACATACATACATTACTTAAGTTACTTTACTTAAGTTACTTAAATTGCGTGCATCTCACAGTATGAAAACGAAAAAGAAGAATAAACAGAAAAGAAAAAAATCAGACCACGACTTCCTGATACAGCACAATTGCTGCGCGCATGAAATGGGGCTTCTGTATGTGCGTGCACTCTAATCCTATTTACGCAATTGCAAGTGATACTTTAAGCGTGACGTTGCTGCAATGAGTAACGGAAAGTATTTTACGCGTTTTTTGCCAGTCATTTTTTTTCTGGCTGATTTCTAGCTATTTTTTCCGTGCACATACAAGCGTTGGCGCCACTCGTAGTAGCAGTACTTTTTACAATTTTTTTTTCATTCTTGTATTTTCTGCCTTCTTCTTATTTCGTTTATATTTTTACAGCAAACTCAATTCGGTTTTCGCACATTTTGCTATATTATTCGTTTGCTCACTTCTCTATAACTGACATGCTCTGCCATCGAACGGATTTTCCAGTGACAGCAAGTAAATGATGCCAACACAGGGTGGCCTTGCGTACGGCAGACAATTGGATGTGAAATTTTATGACAGTTGAAGGATAAAAATTTAACATTTTTGGCATTGTGGTGCTCTTCGTATTGTTTGTTTTTTCTTTTTTTTATGTATAAAAAATATACAGTACACACAACTCATTTATATTTCATAAAAAATTTTCTGCTATTTTGCAATACCATTAACAACATGTGAAACATCATATTTATATATTTATATTTTTCTACTCTTTCCAGCTTTCAACTTTAAGCGAATCAACGTTTTAAAGCGCACTCTTTTAGTGTATTAACAACAGAGTAGAATTAAAATAAATTTTCAGCAATGGAATCACCCAGTTCAGCTACCGCTTCAGCTGCTGCTGCCGCAGCTGCCGCAAAGCGTGTGCAAATTGAAAAGGCGCATAATTTCATGCGTCAATATCGTGATCCAGAATCGCGTGAATTGAAGAAATTATCAGCTAATCAATTCATGGATGTGTGGGCACATTACGATAAAGATGGTGAGCATATTTATTGGGGTAGAAATAAGATAATTTTTGGATTTTAACTTGAGAGAAAAATTCATATGAGCAAATTTTCGTTATCAACCTTTAAACACAGACTAATCCTTTTTTTCATAAATATAAAAAATAAATTAAATAAAATTAATTAAATAATTTTATTAAAGTTTTTAATATTTATTTATTTTTTATTTTTTAATTTTTCAGGCAATGGCTATATTGAAGGCACAGAGTTGGATGGCTTCCTGCGTGAATTCGTATCGAGTGCAAATGCCACAGATATCAGTCCAGAGGTAAGTAAAGAAGTTAAAATATTACAAGCAAGTTTTAGCATATTCTTTAAGAAAAGCCTAGGCTGTATTAGCAAAAGGCGTATAAATAATACGTTACTGTGAGTGAGGCCACAGTTGAGCACCGAGCTTCCTTTCAAACACCAAAGAAAATTGGTTTTACCTTCAAAGTTAGAGCTTTATTCCTGTCATGCTCATTTTAAGCCATTCTGCCATGAGCCCAATTGTGCAGATGGTTTTTGTGCATTATCCTTTTGTGGTTTAAGTAAGTAATACTGCTGAGACGCCGATATGTATACGTAAGGATAAGTCCAGCGACATATCTTTTATGGTGTCAAAACTGATGCCCTAATCACTTAAGGGGCCAAAAGCATCTCCGAAAACTTTAAAATAGGCTGTAGGGGTTAGAAATATTGACACCGATTGAAGGATAATATAAGATTTATTCTGTGTCAATCTTGATAAAACACAAAGCTTCAGTTTGTTGTGCTTTTCCCCATACGTAAGGTGAGCAATGAAATGTAAACAAAAATCAGATGTTTTTGCTAACATCAATTATTTTAGAATAAAGGAGAAATAAATAAACAAATATGTGTAGTTGTATTACATAATTGTAGTACATATATTTGGAAAGTCAAATGTGAAAATATTTACATTTTGATTATTCCATAGCTATAGGGATGAAATATTTCTCCACATAGGCCTTTCACCTTTACGTATGTACTATATACTGGCAGAAGCATTTTCTTTGTTGTATTTGAGTTCTGAGGAGGAGGTTCTTCAACTGGCGTTAGAAGCTGGAATACTTTTGTGTTAAAATAGCTTAAAAAGTTTTTTTATTGGCATTAACACACCCTGTTTTTACATTTGTATTTCCTCTGCCAAACTGGGTAATTGTAATTCTCTTCCCTTCATCTTGACAATAAGTAAACTTTTGGGAAGAAACGACATTTTTGATATGAGATATACCCAAAGAAGTTTCAAGCCACCAGCATTCTTATGATTAGAGATACTGAATTTCATCTATGAGACGACAGCAAATTTCGCAAGTCAAACGAAAGTTTTGCGAAAATGTGTTATCTCTTAACAATATGTGTAAAATATGTATCTGCCTTTCTTACATATTGTTATTCACAAATTTGATCAATGGTAAAAAATTGTTTTATTTAAAAAAAAAAACTTTGTCAAGAGCATTTTACATCTTGACAATTTTTCAAAAAAAAAAAAAAAAATGCTTTTTTTTTGACACAGAATAGACAAATCTTGATAAATTATCAATCTTTATAAATAAGCAAGATAGTGAATTTATCAAGTGCACAGAATAGGCCTGTTAGAAGCCTTAAACGATTGGTATAGCGATGAATATTTATCGTAGAGTTTCATCGGAAATGTCTTATTGGAATGAACTAGATAGATAATAAGGACTACAGTTCTATAGTTACATATGGGCCTTGAAATTCTTTTGACCACCCTTGTGACAAAAGTAAAATTTTTTTTTAGCTATTTTAAACTGTTGTATTGATATGAAGATGGACTCTGGGGTTTATATTGGATGAGTGTATAAGTTCGTGCCCGATTCCGCTGGATGCCGTTCGAATCGTTCGAGAGTGGCGCTCGTGAAAGAAATATATACATATTATATATCGTTGGAAAGGTGACAGTCTGAACTGTAAATCAACTTTATTTTGATTTGAGTTGCTTAATGAAAAGACGCATGGAAGATGCACAACGAAAAATATCATATGCATCATTTTATGTTATACGAATTCCGCAAAGGAAAAACAGTATGCGCTGCAACTAAATATATTCGCGAAGTTTATTTGGACCGTGCTCCGCACAGTAAAGAAATGGTTCGCGAAATAATTTCGTTCTGGAGATTTTAACCTCGAAGATCAACCTCGCAGTGGACGGCCTTCTGAGCTTGATGACGATGTTCTAAGGACTTTAGTTGCGAATAACTCACGTATTTCGACGGAAGAGGTTGCCAGTGAATTGAACGTCAACAAATCAACTGCGTTTCGTCGTTTAAAAAAGGTTGGGTACACTTTGAAGCTCGATACATGGGTGCCACATCAGTTGAGTGAAAAAAACAAAGTGGACCGTATGTCAACAGCAATTTCTTTGCTTCGACGGATCAAAAACGAACCTTTTTTGGATCGGCTCGTGACTGGTGATGAAAAATGGATCCTGTACAACAATGTTCAACGCAAAAGAACATGGAAACAGGCACACGAAGGGGCGGAACCGATGTCGAAAGGTGGATTGCATCCGATGAAGGTACTGCTGTGCATTTGGTGGGATATCCGAGGCGTGATCTATTTTGAGCTCTTGCCAGCTGGAGAAACGATCACTGCCAACAAGTATTGTCAGCAATTGGTCGAATTGAAGAAAGCAATTGATGAAAAACGTCCGATTTTGGCCAATCGCAAAGGAGTTCTTTTCCATCATGACAACGCCAGGCCACATGTTGCAAAACCGACCCTGGCCAAACTGAAGGAGATGAATTGGGAAATCATGCCGCATCCCCCATATTCACCCGACATTGCACCTTCTGATTATCATTTGTTTCGATCGCTGCAGAACAATTTGAATGGAAAAAAATTTAAAAATGTGGAAGACGTCAAAAACCACCTTGACACCTTTTTCAACGAGAAACCGCGCGATTTCTATGAATCAGGCATCCGTAAATTGGTTGAACGTTGGGAGTGGATTGCCGAACATGATGGCGAATACATAATTTATTAATGCTTTTATTAAAAAAATTTCAATTTTAGTTTGCACTTGAAATCGTGCACGAACTTATGCACTCATCCAATAATAACATCTAAGCAAAGTTGTTCATTTGTTGTAGGTTATAATTATTAAACGTATAAGAAGAGTGAGAGTAATCGTCTTAAAAACGTGTTTCATTGAACGAGGTATATATCTGACATAACAAGTTATATTTTATCGGTCTATAACAAAATATTTGAATGCTTAATACGGAAGATATATTATTTATAAATAACAGAAACAGAATCGAAATAATATGGCTACCATGAGGAACTCCTCATAAGATATTAATTAATTGAGATAAAGTGCCTTTCAAAAATAATAACAAGAACAAATTGACAGGTCAACGTTTTTCGACCTCAGTACAGGCGGTTGATGCGTTCACGGCGCATATTTTGGAGTTACCTCCATCAGAGTGACAAAAGTGCTTCTATAGGAGAGTATTTTGAAAATGTATTTTGAGAAAACAAAAGCGACTTTCGATGATTAATATCTACTTTTGCGCTGTAATTGAGAAATGTAAAAGACAATCCATTTTACATATAGCAGCTGAGCTCAGCATATTTTATGTGAGTTTCGGCTTTTATTTGCATTAGATAATAATAAAATTTTTTCGTAAATAAAAATTAAATTCATGCAAATAAATCTTTATATTTAACAACATTGAAAGTTTACATTTTCTCTCCAATCCTTTCACTTTTCATTTAATTATATTTATTATATATATCAAGGAGCATGCATTGTCAGCAAGGATAATCTCATGATTTATGTGTTTCAATGAAAATTAAATGTTTTTATTCAGATGATCAAAGCTTAGTAACAAAGCAAAAAAAAAAAAAAATTGCTTGAAAAATTAATGCAGATTTTCACTCTTCCATTCATACTTTTGTATACAATTTTCCTCTGAATTTATGCTAGAAATCAGGCTTATTTCCATAAATAAAGCTTAAACTGAGAAAATTCGTATAAAATATTGCTACTATCATCACTCAGAATTTTCCTCCGCCAGCCGAATTGAGTAGGTAAAACCAGCGATTTGAGTGCGTCATTACGTTGCTTATGAGTATTTCCACTCTATCATTCTTTAAGCGCGCATTGATTTCACTGCCTTAGACTGGAGTGTAGTGCAGAGTTTCAAGTATTCTCTCTTTTATACAAATATACTACTACATATAGAGTGTGGCTTTGTTATAACTGCTTGATACATACATACATATATTTGTGCTTATTTTCTTGTATTTTATTCCTCTCCCTCTTCTTCTTTTCAAACATTTTTTAGGCTGTCACCGATACAATGCTTGAAGAGCTAAAATCCTGTTTCATGGAAGCTTACGATGATAATCAAGATGGAAAAATCGACATTAGAGAGGTAAGTAAAGTGTAGTGAGAGTAAAAGAGTAAAAGAAAAGTTCGAAAAAAGTTAATGGTGGGGTAGCGCAGAAATAAATGAAAGACGAAAAGCAATGGAGGTTGCTTGCGTGAATAAAGGTATATTTGCAGAACTTGTAATGGAAAAAAAGTTACGCCGAAAAAATTAAAAATTCTGCGTGCAGAAAAAGTTAAAAAGAGCTTGTGTGTAATGAGCGATGAAATACGGTAAAGAAAGGTGAATTTTCACTTTTTGGAGCATATTCGTACTAACATGTGTGACATTTGCATTTTTTTGTGTGATTTTTTCAAAGTAAACTTTTTAGAGATTTTTGCAAATTTTTTATTTTTTTTTTTTACATTTTTTTTCGAAAGAAACTCAAGAAAAATTACGAAAAACTTTTTTTTTGCTACAATCCCTTTGAAGTTGCATGCAAATTGATTGTCGCATGCGAGTGATTTTTTACTCGTCGTACTTTATTTACCCTAAGGTGAAGCATTTGCTTGAAATGAATTGAAGTAATTTGAATGTGCGTGCACATAGAGCGAGATTTTAGACATAATTTACATATATGTATATATATGAAGGTTTTTGTATTGCTGTATATGTGACACATACATTCAGAACTGTTTTGCATAAGTGACTTTAAGTGCCAAAAAGTAAAGGACTCGAACTCGGCAAGCGGATTTGGAAAAAAAAATTGAGAAAATAACTACTATACAAATGTTTCGGAAAAATATAAAAAATACCTAAAAAATAACAACAAAAAAAATACAAAATCTTTTTGAAAAAAAAAACTAAAGAAAATACTAGAAAAAATTCCACCTAAAATCACCTAAACAAAATCTATGCATGAGCACGCACGCTTCGCTATCACTTAAGTCGAGACTGAATGTTACTCATACGCCCAGGTGTGCGAAAGTGTTTATTAAGCTTTAATGGGTTAAATGATACGCGACAAACCTTTAGGCTATATGTGATGGCATATGTGTGTTAAAAGCAACCTTTTTATGCACTTAGTTTTCTAAAAAAAAAAAAAAAAATAAATAAATAGTAAAAAAATCATTAAAATTTGCCTCGAAATTCCCTTTTTTCATATGACAAAAGTAAATATTTGCATTTATTTTGTACAAAATTTTACATTTTTATGAAGTGAAAGTACAATTTTTCGCCTTTTTATTTTTCAATTCAAACAATAATATCGAGTATTTTACATAAAATGCTTCATTTGCAACCCTCAGACGCATAAATAAGTAAATAAATAAATTCACAGTCAATCACACAGAACAGTCTTTATTTGTTTAAGTCGTGTGCTCTTTTATTGTTGTATTGATTAAGTAGAGGGAGACAATATTCACATATATCTGAGTATGTATATGTGGGAATTATTTATTCAATTTACAATGGTGTAGCTTTTTATGTTGCTATAAGATGCTTTTATGAGTGTGACATGGTGAAAGAATTGATGTGGACCCAAAAGGAGGGTTTGACAAAAAAAGGGATTAAATAAAATAAAATAAAAAGAACTAAATAAATAAGAAAATTGAATAAAATATATATTTTATATGTACTGATATTGGATATTTGTAGTAAAAAGTCATCAACTATTTTCGCAATAGAAAGCTATCTATTTGATCTGACCTGTATCTCTGTACTATCTGTACTGTAAGTACGAGGTGATTGTGCTAGATGGCGCATTAAAATAATTAAGTATAATTAATTTATTTCAATTTCTTTATAAATTTTTCTTTTTAATTAAATAAATATAATTTTTTCCATGATTTTAAGCTGATTTAATTTTCTTATTGACGAAAATTTGTTTTTTTATACAGTTTAATTTAAAAAATTTGTTGAGGTTAAGTTAAATTTATTTTTACTTAAGTTTTCTTATTTTATATTTATTATAAGTATATTTATTTATAATGTATTATTAACATTTGCTTTTTATTTAATAGTTTTAGTTTCGTTTAAGTAATATAATTTCATCTTATTTTTTACTTTCAAATGGTTTTAATTTGCGTATTTTTCTATTGAAGAAAATTTTGTTTTTTATTTAGTTTAATTGAAAATACATAATTAAATTTAGTATGATTTATTTTTATTCAAACTAACTTTATTCATTATTTTCATTTATTTATTTATGATGTATTTATTTTTTATTTTATATTTTATAGTTTTACTTATGTTTAAATGATTTAATTGAAATTTATTCAAATTAATGTAATTTAAATTTTTTTTTACTTAAGAAATTTTAGTTTTAATTTTTTTTGAATGTTAGTTTAAAAAACTTAATCAAATCTAGTAGAATATCATCTTACTCGAATTAGTTTTATCTATTATATATTTTTATTTGCTTATTATTTGTTATTTATTATTTATTATTTATTATTTATTATTTATTATTTATTATTTATTATTTATTATTTATTATTTATTATTTATTATTTATTATTTATTATTTATTATTTATTATTTATTATTTATTATTTATTATTTATTATTTATTATTTATTATTTATTATTTATTATTTGTTATTTATTATTTATTATTTATTATTTATTACATATTATTTGTTATTTATTATTTATTTTTTTCTGTTTTTTATTTATTATTTATTATTTATTGTTTATTATTTATAATTTATTGTTTATTATTTATTATTAATTATTTTATTATTTCATTATTTTGTATTAAGTTTAATTTATCTTATTTCTAGCTATTTTAATCAAGTCAAGTTTTTTACTTATTTAATTAATTAAATTTAATTATTTTATTAAATCTAGTTTTTTTTGCATTTTTTAATTTTACTTATTAATTTAAAATAAATTTATTTAATATTTACTTCTATTTTGTAAGTTTTTTTATTTTAGAATTATATAAAAATTTAATTAACATTTTTTGTAATTTTTTAGAGTGTTCTATATATTTCAAAGCGAAAACTTGGCCAAAACTTAAACGTTTATTTCGTGTAATAATAAATCCGGTGCAGACAGCAGCCAACGCACTGTTGAAATTTCAATTCAAAATTCACGCATCAAATCACTTTTAACACAATAAATAAAATCATATTCACCTCATTACTGTTTATCACTGTCACAAATCGCACATAACGCACAAGCGCACATACTTTCGCTCCCTTAGCAGGCGCGCATTAATTAAAAGTGACACGTGTAATGCGTCAAAGACACATGTGGCCGTTGTGGCGCAACAGCCGCAGCTACAACGGCAACAGCAGCCAGAGCAGCAACCATAAGCGTATGCATGCAGCTGAGTTCAGCCGAACAAAAAAAAAACAAAAAAAAAATCAAATGAAAAAATATTGCAAAACATTTTGAAGTTAAGCGCAATGAAGAGGAAGACTACTCGTATACTCACGAGCGGGGCAAGTAGACTAAATGTAAACACTTGAATAATGAGTGGCGCGCGCGGAAAAGTCAAAAAGGTGGCGTTGTGAGTGAGCGAGCAACAAACAATTGCATGAGCACACGCACACACACCGAAGCGCACGTAAGCTTTGAGTAATTTCTTTTGCACAAGCAGACTTGTTGCTGCAACCTTAACCAAAAATGAATAGAAAAATGTACGAAAGCAAGCAACCAAATGCAATAAAACTCGCCTTCTAACGCTCGCTTCGTAGTCGCTCAGTCACTCAGTCAATTTGCTTCATATTTTGCCACGCCGCCTTTATTGCTGGCAGCAACGCTTTGTATTTCTTTGTTAAGCAACACGCGCGCGCTAGTCAACACAATGCATTTTGTGTGCAGCTGTCATTTTGACATCTTGTTTGTCATTGACTGTTTTTTTTTTTTTGGCACTATCCTTCGGTGGAAATGCGATTGTATCGTTGGGAATTTCTTTGTTGTTTAGTGAGATTTTTCATTTTTGATTTTTTTGTTGCAGTTTTGATTTAGTGTCTTTCTGGTTGTTAACATTGTGCGCTGTTGCTCTGCTGGTGTCTCGGACCTAAATTAAATTGGCCATATTTATTGCATTTGGACATTTAGTGTGTGGGTTTGTGTCACTGATGCAAAATTTTTCGATGTCAAGTATATTTTGTTAAAATTTTGAAGAAATGTTTGGCTGGCATTATTAAATAATTTTTGCATTCGTTTATAGAACTGACCAAATATTTATGTTGAAACAAAAAGCGGGTTGGGTTAGGTTAGGTTGAGCAGGTTGATCCATAGGGTCTCACATTGAAGATGTCGCAGCCATAATATTGCCAGACGTACAACACACGACCAAGCTACACATCGCTACACTGTGTTTCTAGTGTAAATAGCGATTACCCACTTTAAAAACAACAAAGCTCCTGGAGCCGATGTCTTATCGTCTGAGCTATTTAAATTGATGATGCTGCACGTTAGACAACATCAAAAGCGCGCTCAGAATTGGGAAGAAAGGAATACAGGGTGACACTAATTTCTTGAAACTGTTGGAATCAGCAGTAACATCAATTATAATGCTGATAGATACTACCTTGGACGGAGTAGGTGATTGCAAACCAAAACCAAACTCTAAAAGTCACTCATCATACACGCCCTACGATGTGATGCTGAACGGTAGACGTTATTGACATCCGTTGAGTCGGCACTTGAAGTCTTCGAAAAAGAAGTTTTGCAAAAGATTTATAGTCTTTTACGCATGAGCTACGGTAAATACCGCAGACGATAGAACGCTGAGCTGTACGATTTATACGATGACATTGATATAGTTCAGCGAATACAGATACAGCGGCTTTGCTGTCTAAGTAATGTCGTCCGAATGAATGAAAGCATTCTGGCTTTGAAAAATATTCTTTGCAGTACCTGCCGGTGGAAGCAGAGGAAGAGGAAGATCTCCACTTCGTTGGAAGGTTTAGGTGGAGAGCGTACTGACTTCACTAGATATTTCCAGCTGTCGTCAAACAGCGAAGAGAAGGAGAGTTATTATTGATGCGGCTATAATCGCTTTAACGGTGTCCAATGAAGTAGAAAAAGAAGTATGAAGCACATTTACG